CGGGGACATGACACTGGGGATGGGGATGCAGGGATGGGGACGGGGACACGACACTGGGGATGGGGATGCAGGGCTGGGGATGGGCGCGCGGGGCTGGGGGGGCTCTGGACGGGGATGCAGGGCTGGGGATGGGGACGTGACACTGGGGATGGGGATGCAGGGATGGGGATGGGGACGTGACACTGGGGATGGGGATGCAGGGATGGGGATGGGGACGTGACACTGGGGATGGGGATGCAGGGATGGGGATGGGGACGTGACACTGGGGATGGGGATGCAGGGATGGGGATGGGGACGTGACACTGGGGATGGGGATGCAGGGATGGGGACGGGGACACGAGACTGGGATGGGGACACAAGGCTGGGAAGGGGACACAAGGGTAGGGACAGGGATGCTGGGCTGGGGTTGGGGACACGAGGCTGGGGATGGGGACGTGGGGATGGGAACCAGCTGGGATCTTGCCCAGGGACTGGGGGAAACTGGGCTGGTTCTTTGGAGGGATCTGAGCGGGGTCCCGGCGGGGATCTGGGTGAAATCCAAGCTGGGTCCGGGCAGGATGTGGGCAGGATCCTGAGTGGGGTCTGGGATGGGTCGTGGGTGGGATCTGGGATGGGTCTGGCTGGTTCCTGGGTGGGACCTGGGCTGGGTCCTGGCCGGGATCTGGAGGAGTTTCCATTTGGGATGTGCACGGCCCCTCGCGCTCCCTGGGGATTGCCGGCTCTGGGCCAGCCACAGCCTGTCCATCCATGCGGAGGGTCCCAGCCCCCCACCTTGCCTCAGTTTCCCTCTCCCTGAGGACACACAGCTCCCGCACGTCTCAACGTCTGCTCTGTTCACACCACGCAGGTACCAGCTGCGCAAGATCGTGGTGGACAACGCAGCAGGGCCGTGGGGGAACCACACTGTCGTCTTCCTGGGCTCCAGCACCGGCACTGTCCTCAAGTTCCTCATCCAGCCCAATGCCAGCACCAGTCCCTCACCCGCTGCCCCCGGCAGCCAGAGCGTCTTCCTGGAGGAGTTTGAGACCTACCAGCCTGGGAGGTGGGTACTGGGGTGTCGGGAGGGAGGGGAGGGATGGGTGGAGGTGGTCAGATGCGTGGATGGATGGGTGGTTGGATGGGTGGATGGATGAGTGGATGGATGGTTGGATGGGTGGTTGGTTGGATGGGTGGATGGATGGGTGGATGGATGGATGGGTGGTTGGATGGATGGATGGATGGTTGGATGGATGGTTGGATGGGTGGTTGGATGGATGGGTGGATGGATGAGTGGATGGCAGGATGGATGGGTGGATGGATGAGTGGATGGCAGAATGGATGGGTGGATGGATGAGTGGATGGCAGGATGGATGGATGGATGGATGGGTGGGTGGGTAAGTGGTTGGATGGATGGTTGAGTGATCGGATATTTGGGTGAGTGATTGGATGGATGGGCAGGTGGGTTGATGGATGGATGGATAGATGGGTAGGTGGGTGTGTATGTGGTTGGATGGATGGATGGGTAGGTGGGTGGGTGGGTGGGTGAGTGACTGGATGGATGGGTGGGTGGGTGGATGAGATGATTAGGGAGGGATTCATTAACAGG